AGAAAACATAAAGAACCATACTCTACGTATAGCCAATTGGAATGCTAACAGAGTCTTGCAACATGCCTCAGAACTTGAATTGTTTCTGAGAATGGAAAAATAGACATATGCCTTATCTCTGAAACGCACTTCACGAGTCAATCGAATATTAGAATTCGAGACTTTACCGGCTACCACACCCCCCATCCGGCCGGGAAAGCAAGGGATGGTTCGGCAGTATTAATAAGGAGCAACATTCAGCATCATGAGGAATCTAAAATTGCAAGCGAAGAGATGCAAGTTACAACAATCAGTATTCGGGCAAAAAATAAAAAATGTAAAATCTCGGTAATCTAATGGCCACCTAGACATATACAAAATATAAAAATATAAAAAATAAAAATATAAAAATACAAAAATGTACTTACAAAAGAAGATTATATAAATCTGTTCCGTATGGGAGCTGTCGTCCGCACGGATAGCGAGCGGCAGGCGGCCGTGCGCCAGGCGCGTTCCGCTCGCGGGCGACTGCCGCTCGCCGCGGCTTCACGCCGTCACCGCTACGCGGCAGCGCGCTGAGCCGGGGCCGTCGCTAGCAGTTAAATTTCGGTGCGGCGCCTATATAAGACGCCGCGGGCGACGGTTCTAAGCCTTTTGACTGCGTTAGCGCATCTGGTCACTGCCTCGCTGAGGTATTATTTTGAGTTCTAGCTTAGCTTCATATCGCCTTCTTGAGTGCGTAAGCACGTTGGGCACTTGCCTCGCCAGAGGTATACGTGTGCATATCTGCATTGATCATCGCTGCCTTCAGAGTGTCATAGACACGTTGGCATTCGGGTTTAGGTCTTCGCAGCCCTTTAGAGTGCGCTTGCACGTTGGGCTATCGCCTCTAGAGTGTTCAAGGACACGTTGGCGTTTGTGTCACGAAGTGTATGAAGTAACTCCACGGATCTCCACCTTCTCAATACGATCGAGGATTGAGAGAAGGCTTCGCGCGACCACTTCGGATTACCTTGACGCTTCCACCGCGGTGGACGTCTCTCTTCAAGACTTCTCTCGTATTGCATATGCCGGGTATTAGCGCCGACCGAACTTATTACAGTCGAGCTCACGACTCCGCGCGAGTCGTCGTTGTACTCAGGAACTCTGCTGCCAGGACTTAGCCGCTGCCAGGGACGCAGCATATACACGCGAGCCAAGCTCGCCTTCACGTCCGCTTAGGACTTAGCTGCTGCCAGGGGCGCAGCATATACGCGCGAGCCACGCTCGCCTTCACGTC